ATGCATTCACGTCAATTATTTGGCAAAAACAACACTGGCACAAACAACAGCAGGAATTTAATACATGATACAAACTATAGAATATATATATGAGAGATTAAAAAGCACTAATAAGAACAAACTGGGAATAACACGCTTCACGTTTTTAGAGCTAAAGTTAATCGCATACATTGATCAAGGTGTAAGTTAACAAAGAGACCACGTAAAATTCCCCGGACGAATAGTTGCTGTGAGAACATGTTTACCCAAGTCCTAGTGGAAGACAAGTAATGTTTTATAGGACTATGGTATATGCTCCACATAATTCACCCTTGTATGAGTTTTGCTTAGTCAATCACAGTGAAGGCACAGAAGGCTTTATGACAAGTCCACACTTGAATTAGTAGATAATTTCCATAGGTAGTGGATGAAAAGGCCTCTTAAATTTAATATAAAATACATAAATAATAGTAAACAACACTGAACCAAAATCGTTTTTTGTTCTCTCAATGTGCAACTATAATATCATGTAGTCCTTAACAAAGTTATAATGCAGTTAATTTACGGTTTCAAATTCTGAAATCGATTCCAAGTTATCAATCGAGCAAAATACAAAATTGCCATAGAGTCAAGAATATGATTAGATATTAAGGCCTTACTATTATTTTTTCAATTATGAGCGAGACACAATTAAAAATTATTAAAGATCGCACTCTATGTCAGCATAACGATAACTTCCTTCTTTGAGATATTCTAAAACACCAGAGCCTCTTACATATATTAATTCAACATTTTAGGACAGAGAGTAAAACATGTTGAGCCTTTATGATTTCAATCGGTAATATCATCACGACACTTGCAAGTATGTGTCGGATACACTACAAGGAAGTCCGACCCCAATCAAATGTACAAGTCATTTTCGAGAACGATAAATAGACAGACGGGTTTACAAAATAATGGTCATATATAATATTAGAGTTCAAGACTGTAGCTACAATCGCCTAACATACAACCACTCAATCAATTCCATATTGAGCGGACAAACAGGAGTTATGCCTAATTTTACAAAATCTCTTCTTATGAATTGATGGCACTAACACTATGCGTATATCAAATAACATGGTATTTTATGGATGACTAACAACGCCAATATAATCTAAAGATAATGTCACAAATTTCTTTGGGTCTTATAAATTCGACATCCAAACAGCATTAAGACAGCTATGTTTTCAAGCACAATATAATAGGAGTTTACACCAAAATAACAGATAATTTCTATTTATTAATCTTATCATTTTTTTGGTAGTTAGGTGTCCAATCAACTAAAGTTTAAATATAATTATATATGGAAAGGATTAAAAAAAACAGAAAAGAAAAACAACCTCTGATCTAGAATAAAACCGCAACTTAAGCCCAGTCAACTCCCACTGTAGCCAAAAAATCGCTGCCCTATATTATAATGAAACACAAGGCGGACTATCAGGTATACTATCGGAGTAGAACAGTCATGTAAATCTTGCAAGACATATCTCAACACACACACAGAAGAGAAGATATATAATCCGTAGCAAGTGCATACGTCAGACATGGTTGGTCCTCTTCCCAGCTTTCTTGTAGTGTAGGATGCAAAGAATGGTTTCGATTAAAACCGGCCAAGTACATGACGATGTGAACAATTTGCAAGGAGTTTAGCCCATCGATCCTCATCAAGCAGGTACTTGCAAATAAGGTTGTCCTGAAATCTTACGATAAATCAGAGATCTCTTCTAGTTCTGGGTCCCATAAATTATCTGGATACAGGCGAGTAATGCAACCTTTTTCAAATGTAGCACAATACTGAGGGCAATGTGATGTATACTCATTCAAATCTAGTTAGCTATTCAGTATCTTATAACACTCAGACATAACTATAATGTCTATACGAGGATCATCTACCAACAACTCTCTTTGTGTATATCGATAATTGAAATTGTGACCTCTAATACTATTTTTGGAGTAGATACTTCAAATAAAATAATTAATCACATGTTTAATTGTTGAGAGGAAAATGATACATGGTAAATTATAAAAAACTATTTAAAATTTTAGCGTATAGGTCTACAACTGGTAACATAGTTGATTTTTTTTGCTCCGGCTTGAGGTTCTTGAAATCTCTGCCTCATCACAGACAAACTCAAACCTTAAATAGCAACGAGATCTCTCGTCAACGCGTGGCGTACGTGGCCATAACAATAATACAATCTTCCGAAACACAATATCCTTTTATGGTCCGTTCTTTAATTCATTAGCACTAGAGGGCTTAAAAATACGGATTAATGCCTCTATAAGCTCCGAATTATTCACGGCTGTGGGCTGCTTTAGTGGGCTAACTCCTACAATACACGATACTTCTCGAGGTCTGACTTTGCGGGCTCGGGAACAGAGCGGAGAACAGTGCCATATTTCCTCCGTCTACTCCTTATGTTATTTCCGTTTTATTGTATATAACAATTCATAAAATCGGGAACTACAATATACGATTGTTGTGTAATACTTACTTAATCCTGCCTCTTCCTTTTCTTTGTAGTGTCAGTGGAAATGAAATATATATTTTAAATTTATTCACGTCAATGTCCAAATATAGGTTTTTGACAATAGGTGAGTTAAGCAAAAACGCACTAAAGCATAAGCATAAAAATTCTAGAAACTGCTCCGAATGTCTGCTTTAAACCATCACTTACATTAAGAATGGCTTAATAAGGCTATGACGAAGTTATGCTGGAACGCGTAACTGACATTTTACACTGTTACACAAAATCACATAATTGTAATAGGAACGAATTATTCGTTTATTTATTTGCAGCGTGATTAAAATTGAGCATATTCCTGTCCTTCTGTCATACAATTGCAATAAAACTACAACCGCACATTGGTTCCAAACGAGAACACGCTTGTGCGCCTTCTTCCTACTACACTCGTTCCGTGCACAAGTCACATCGCATGAGTGGTCCGGAGTCAAATGACTAACGAATAACGACCCAGCAATGAGCTTATAATAGACTCGGAAAGCAGAGAGAAAATCCACTTATGCGACTAACTATTATCTCCGTCTATTATGAGCATTTTTATTGTTCTTGATTCTAACTGATACAGCATGTATCCAAAGCGTCCTCCCCTGGTTAGTATACCCTATATTGACAAATTGAATTGAAATTGTAAACGGCCACCGTATAGCTATCTTATAGTCATAAGATCTATTGGATTTTTGCATTAGACTACATTCTACTGCCTAAGTCAGTGGACCATAATTTATGGGAGAAATGCGGCGATTCTCGAGCGAAAGTTGTTAGGAGTTTTAGACACCAGCATCTAAGAGATCCCAAGAAGCACAAATTAGAGCTCTTTATTATTGATCAAACGCAATGGTGCTATAGTAGAGATTATGTAGTCTCTAATCACTTCAATGGTTTTCCAATAATTTCGCGGTGTTCCAACATGCTTTTAAAAAGTGACCAGTTTTGATTTTTTCTAAAACTTGATAATTATGCGATTCTTTATATTTTCACTTGATATTTAAATGGGTCAAAATGTGAAAAGACGCGTAAAATAAGAAACTAATCGCTGTAAATATTGCGACTGAGTCCATGTAAATGGGGACATAAACTCACATATAGAATAGAAAGTTGTAGAAATTTAGAATCCCAAGTGAAAGTACATATAAAGGTGCTAAACCATGCCAATTAGATTCTACGTAATGTTTTCTTTCCAAAGAATTCCATTCGGTGTCTAAGTTCATGACATTTAATCAACCCACGAGGATAAAAAGGTATCAAGAGCAAATAATAATTACTTCGCACACTTTACATTAGCTCAAAATGCATCAATAATAAGTGAGATGCATAATACTAAGCTATCGAAATTATGATGTATATATTCCAGCAAATAAATTAATAGAAAATGTACCTATTCATATTTTTTTTAGAAAAAGGGGACATAGAGATGAGTAGAGGATTACACTTCAAGGTTTTTATCTTACCGATCTGCGACTGGACTTGCCATAGAGGAGTCAGTCCGGCCCAACTGTATGTGTACCGGAGGTCATCTGCTTTTATAACCATATAATTGTGAAAAATCTAAATTCAATGAAAGAAACAACATGGCCACTTCAAGTGATAGAAGGACTATACTATAACGTATCTACGAGTATAATCTGAATTTCGGACTCTGTGCTTTTGAGGTGAGAAGTCATCTGCAAGTGATTTATCTGTGTCCACAACTGGGAAAAACTGGGAATCAAATTCCCTTATTTGAATGGGCACAGGTCCGATAATCTTTCAGTTTGTGACCACCGAACACAATAATGCGTACCTGTGATCATGGGCCAGATAAATACTCCTCATAGAAACGAATCCGACTCCATTCTAACACCATCTGCGCCGTCCGACAGACCGGATAGGGCTTGCACACCTAGCTCCGCCCCCATTCACCCTAGACGTGTCGGGTACGATCGTATTACGCCGGCGGCTGAAATCAGAAGTGTCTACCGGGCCAAACCTGTAACCTGACGGTTCCTCTTTTGGTCTCGCCCCGGCCAGCGCCAGAGCGAAAGTACCGAACAAAAAATCGACATGATAGCACCATAACAGAGAAACAAGAAGTTACCATACTCTGAAATGGCAGAAGCTGAAGGAAAGGCCTGTGCTATAGCAACAAGTGAAAAGCAAGTTGACCCACAGGACACGGCTCCACCAAGCCTCTGACGCCGAGGACCCTGAAACGAGTCTCCAGTGGAAATGTTCTTCGCGGCCCGATGGACCGCCATCGGAGAGCTCCGGCGGCCACCTAGCCCCCTAAAAGCGCCCGAACCCGGCCCCAAGAGCCCAGTCGAGACAAAACAGCGTGACACACGAACAAATTTGTGTCTACAATTCCGATATATAACAAACAAGAACCTAAGATCATTCCAACCCTTGAATGACTGCATAGGTTCTCTGTTTTCTCAGAATCGAGCCTCTTGCAGTAACCTGTTGTTGAACGATTCCTTAAATACTATTGGCTATTATTACTTGAGAGAGAAACATTTGGCATTCCAGTTCCAGTAAACAGACTCGACGGCCTACCTTGTCACTGAGTAATCTGGATACTACATAGAAGAAGAACACTGCTCTCACTCCCCCCACGCTCCTGTGCCGATTTCTTTCTTTTGCTCTCCTGCATTTTTCTTGTTTTATTTTAGCTTATTGATATCTTGGCGTTCTTGCGCAATGTAATTGAACAACAGATTATAACAATTAAGACTCTAATTAATATTCCTTAACGGAGGAGCCTTAAACACCATGCGACGTTAAGGAGATAGTTTGAATAAGGGTGGCACGCGAGCGAGTTAGACACAGATGATTACAGCCAGGTAACTATGTCACAACTAAACTCATGACTAGAAATTTTGTTTCAATTTTTAGCCTGGAAATTCTCATGTTGTAGCCTTCACCAATATCTTAACTTAGATATAACTACTCTCTTAAAACTAACTCCTACAACTGCATAAATGATCATTCGAACATCTATCCTTAGGCATTATATAAAACTGCCTTTCAATTAATAAAATTTTTCTTTACGGTGCGTTATAAGATGCATCCATTGTACGGTTATTATTGCAACATAAATGTGGTAGATATATATAGCACTGAAAATACCCGACGATAGAATTCCGTGCTCTATAGAAGCCACAATAGCCATCTACGTCTAAATATTAACTAGCTAATGGTATGTGGCCTATTGCACTTCTAATCTAGTTCGTAATGCAAGTTGCGGGCTAGTATAAATTGTTTCTGCAAAATTAATGCAAGGATTAATATCTGTGCTAAAAAGTCTTCTCTTACTGCAATATATAAGTTTTGGCAAAAAATGCTACAATTAAATCAACCACATTTTGGGCAACAAATTGCCCCGGTTCAATCAATTTTCGGCAAAGCAGAATTGCCTATAACATTAGATTAACTCATTAATCTGTTAGTTTTTCAGTCGATACAAATTCGCTCGTGTAATATCTCAATCACATATTATCTTTGGCGTCCAAAATGCCTTCAACAGGAACATTTCGCTTTCTGGCAAATTAAATTTCGCCTTACAGTCAATCAATTCTTCGGTGACAATACGCCCAATCATCCAACTTTTTGGTCAATAAATTGCCTAACATCAATCTCATGTGGCTAAACACCTTCAAATTTAAATCAATCTTTTGGCCATAGCCCATCTGATTACCTGACAAGACATTAGAGGTCTAAGTAGTCCTGAGAAACAGATTTCCTTCCTTCGCCAGTCGGACCACGATCAGAGTATAGGAGTTTTGATAACTAGAAAGAGCCCCTACTAGTCAATAGAAAGAGCAGGAATGCCAGCTAGTTCCTAATGAAGTCTCCATCCCCATCCTCCTTTGATTCTGTTTATTTAGACAACACAGCAACATGTCAGAACAAAATTCAGAACAACCTGATAAGAAAAAAAAAAAAATCAAAATGGGAATAAGCTCACTTTGCAGTTTCATAATTGACAAGGTTAGCAAAAAGAATCCCGAATGGGTGACATTAAGCCTGGAAGAGTAATGTTAAGGCCTACCACGGTATTCTCGAGGTGCTATCTCAGATGAAAGAGGCACCGCCTGATATCCGATGGTGACATTAAGCTGGAAGAGTATGTTAAGGCCTCCACGTATTCTCGTAGGTGCTATCTCAGATAGGAAAAGAGGCACCGCCTGTGATCCAATAGAAATTTTAATTATTAAATATAGTAACAACTGAACCAAATTTGTCAATTTCATACAGATTATTGTATGGTTATTAAGGTTATCAAATAATCAAGACAACAGATGAAAAGTCAAAATTGGTAATTAGGACAACATTTCAATTTTCAGGAAAATTAAATTATTAAAGAACCAGGACAGCAAATCCCCTAAAGTCCAACCGAGTCATTTTTAAATTTAAGGTAGCTGTTAGGTGTGTTTCAAGGTGTACATCAGCCACAAGACTTGTCACACAGGAAGTCGAATGTAAAGTCCAAGAAGTGACAAAGGGATAGGATTAAAAAATTCAAAATTGTCCACCACACAACCAATGACTAGAATCTGAAACCGATAATATTAAAATAATAAAAAAAAAAGGACTTTTCAAAAGAAAAAAGGAAGATGCAGAGGAAATCGGGTTCTTTTGCCACTTTTTCTGGACACATCCCAACTAAACATCTCTTTCATATGATCTCATCTGAAATAAAGCCAATCAAGAAAAAAGGGGTCTCTGTCACATGTATAAAGCCTGAAAAACTAGAATATATTAAATCCAGGAAATTAACATATAACTATCTTTACCTCCTGTAACCATATCCCAATAGTTTAATTCATGTTACCAAAATTAATAAACTTTGACATTTTAACAAATTAACTCAAATTTTCTTACCAAACATCGTCCCCAGAATGTATGGAAACCTTTGTTAATTATGGATTTAATATTAATAAATGAGTCAAATTGTTTTTCATATTCAACAATTGACAGCTTGAAATTATAATTCACAAATACAGATAATTTATATTTTAATTTATTTTTGGTAGTTAGGTGTCAATCAACTAAAGTTTAAATATAATTATATAATGAAAAGGATAAAAAAAAAAAAAAAAAAAAAAAGGAAAAGAAAAACCCAAACCTGATACCCAAAACGACTTCCGCATCCGAGTAAAAATCCTGCAATAATGAGCCATGCAAGGTCTTTGAGGCAGCGGAGTATTAAGGAACGGACACCAAACAATAAGAAAACCCAGGCAATCAACATGGTTGGCCCTTCTTCCTAGCTTAAGAACTACACCAACAATGAAGAAAATCCCAGCAATCAACATGGTTGGCCTTCTTCCTAGCTTTCTTGTAGTGTAGGATGCAAAGAAAGTTGCGATCAAACCGGCCAAGTACAGTGACGATGTGAACAATTGCAGCCCTTGATTATCATACTTGCAATAGTTGCTGTTGATATTAGGATCCTTTGTCTTGTCATATACGGTAGGGAAGAACTTTTTCAAGAAATCTGGCATGGATGTAACCCCACCTGCATCGTATCAAACCATAACTAAATTAAATCTACCAAATCTTTTTATATTATATTTAAACATTTTTTATATCCTTCAAAAAAAAAAAAAAAAACTTTGTTGTAACAAATTGAACATGGATTAAAACATTAAAATTAACCTATGGTTACAGGAACATATTATTGTCGGTGTCTGTCTCTGTAACCAAGCAACAACCGCAACGAGATCTCTCGTCAACGGTTGTGGTAACTCAATTTCCAAAAACACCTTTATGTCATTAAATCAAGCAAGGGATTATACGGTAATTCTAAGCCCAACACAGCCTTTTCGGCTGCTTTACAAGCTACATACAACTCCATTTTGGCGGGACAGAGCGACGTGCCTTTTTTCGTTAGCCTTTTTTCCATTTTTGAAAACTCTAAAAAACAACAATATATTTCTTTTCTTTCCTTTTCATTTCTTTCCTTTCTGGTTCATTGAAGAAATTATTAAATTTCAGCTAAAAATATAATAGTATTGAAAAAGAAAAGCATAATAACCTGAAATTCCAACGTCGTAACCAAACATGAGGCCACCAGTAGCAGCCATTATGCAAGAAATGATGACGATCGGCGTTATCTTCGCCTCGAAATGAACTCCTTCGGCCGACGCGGCCGCAAAACCTCCGGCAGGCATGATTGTCGATCAAAATCAAAACACCAACGAAACTTAAAACTCGAAGAGAAAATCACTTGCACTAACTATATATATATATATGTATATTTATATATCAACTCTTCCAATAACTTATGTAACTGAGAGTTTGAGAATGGAGAAGAGGATAGGCTTATATCTTGTGAAGTGGAAAATGGCAGGATGAGGAGAGGAGCTTATATAGACGCGATAAGAGAGTTAAATGAAATGACCGTGTGCAATTTACGAAATGGATGATGTTGGTGGGTACCACCGCCAGATCTTCCACGTGGCGATTCTAAGTTATACTCTACCTTCCACGGCTAGCAGTCAACCAACGGCTCTATCAGATTCTCAACTCCCACCTTAAAAAAAAGTTTATAATATTATCTTAAGCCATAGATTTTGAATTTCTTTTTATTTATATTATTATTGTTAATTTGATTTTTGTGTGTGAAATGAAACAGACATCCATAGAATGTAATTACGAGGGGATGCGATGGTGCCACGTCGTAAGAACATGCAGTTTAAGATTGAATTGATAGTCGGCTTATTTTTAATCAACATCAAGAATAATTAAGTTAAGTTGGAAGAAACGTGCAGTTTTTTTATTTTTATTGTCAGTGAAAACAAGAACGAGAATTTAAAATAAATAAAATGAAACAAGAAAAGAATATTTGAAAAATCAAAATTGGAGGTTATGCAATTGACTTGCTATTCCTTCTTTCTTATTTTATTCTTATTAATAAGACAAATCTTGGAAGATAGTAGGTTTTGTTTTATATGCTATGATAATAACGTAAACAAATGGACATCATAAATCAGCTTAAACATAATGAAATTATATTAATTTTTCAAACGATCTTAAGATATATTCGCCTAGGGCAATTCTGTATATTTTAAAATATTATTTTTGGAGTTTATTATAATAATATTTCGATGCTATTTGTCTAAGAATAAGAAAATCAATCAGAATAAAAAAAATAAGAAAATTGGATCAAGCAAATAAGGAAAGGATCAGAATCAGAATCAGAAAAATAAGGAAATTGAATAAGCAAATAAGGAAAATATCAAACGCAATTATTGTAAATATTCTATAATAATTATATGTTGTGTATATAAACTCTGCAATTCACAGATTAAAAGGAATGAAAAAAGAATTCTTTTTAACCCTAAAAGCTATCAATTTGATCGATTAACTTAATTTCGATATATATATTTTAATATATATATATATATATAAAGGAAAACCATCAATTAATTAGTTTTATCAATTTCATATAATGTTTTGGACAAGTGAAGTGGTTTCCAACTCCTTAATGGTAATGTAATAAGGTCAATCCCACATGGGAACCGTATGATAGCACTTTGTGGAATTGTCAATATTTTTGTTTACTGTACATGTAATGTATAGAAGTACCATATTGACAAATGGAATTGAATTGTAAACGCCGCCGTATAGCTATCTTATAGTCATAATTTTGAATTTTTGCATTGATATTCTACGGTCAGTGGAAAATTTAGAAAACGATTTGCGACTTGTAGTTTTAGACTACACAAGATCACAAGAAGCAAGTTGGTATCAGAAAGCACGGCAGCATCTATCTTCTTTCCTATTACCTTCAAATGCTTTAAGGCCTTTTGATTTTTCCAAAATTGATGGATTTTTATTCCACTTTAATTTAAAGGGGCAAAGGAAAAGAAAAAGGAAAAAGGAAAATTCACTATCAAAGGGATAATAATTTGAAAAGGAGAAATTTTGAACCAGAGGAAGAATAAAGTGCTTTACGCAATTCTATTTTCATTTTCAAAGAATCCATCGGTTAGTTTACCGGAAAATCAAGAATATTTTGCATTACACAAAATAATAATAATAATAATAATTGATCTAATCTAAAATATTTTCGCAAATAAATTAATAAGATAATGTAATTGTTTTTTAAAGGAAAACTGTGGATTAATAAGATTCTGTCAACTGTATCTTCGTCATTGCTTTTATAAAATACTAATAATTAGTTATTGTACTAAATTGGGATATGATTGCAATATAGTTCATGAAACACGTGCAACTGTTCATATTATTTAAAAAGAACCAACGGAAAGAAGAAAATATATTTTCTTTTTAAAAAATGCCTTTGTTTGGGCTCACGCTCTATTATTATATATGATGATCTTGCGTGCTAATAGGACAGGGAAATAGCGAATTACTTCTTTTTTTTTTTTTTAAAGAAATAATTTTTCAAAAACAAAAATTTCACACTGTCTAAACATTTCGAATCATGTCGGTGTAAATAAAATTTATGTGAAAATACTGTTCGTTCCTGTTATTTCAATTTATCTTAATCATTGAAAGACTTAAAATAATTCTACGCCTCAGCTCAAAAAAAAAAAAAAAAAAAAAAAAAAAAAAAAAAAAAAAAAAAAAAAAAAAAAGGTAGTTTGAATATTTGGAACCGACATCCAGGCATGAGGGAATCCATGTGATGAGGAAATGTTTTTGAAAATTTTGTTCAATCATTAATTTGGAATGATGATGTAAATATTACGTTACTGATGTGTATAGTATGAGAGGCTACCGATATTGACCATTTTAGCTGTACAATGCAGTGGAAGAAAAAGCTTGAGCTGTTATATTTTTAGATAAGAAGATACATGCAAAGTAATTAAAAAAAGAGCAAAAACGTGGTGCTAATTAAAAGTTTGTAGGGGAAATTAGTCAAAGAGATGAATAGCTAAGCTTAATACAATATAAAAGAAAAGGAGACTGTCTGACTGTGTACTGAGTCAGACAATTAAAAATAATAACAGCCACTGTAAAATCTGACTCGGAAACCCACAAGAAAATCATGATTAAAGATCCATGTTTCTCTTTGAATATTAGGGTTTCAACTGATGGTGATTGAGAAAATGTAAGTGCTTCCTCCACAACTACTCAACTACTTCATTTCATTTCTCGTTCTTTAACTGTTTTCTTCTTCTCATCTTAACACTGTCAACCATGGAATAACTAATTAGCTATATAATGGCTAAGAATAAGCTATTGGCCCTCATTCAAACTAAAACAACTTTTCTTTCCATATACTGATTGTTTATAAATTGTAACCGAATGGATTCATTTCCATGTTATGAGCAATATCCAAAGAAAGAAAATGCATATTGAACAAATTTCTATTTATTAGAAAGGAAAATGGATGGAAAAACAAATGATTTAGACCTAAACTCATGTGAGCAGCAGACTCATCTTGATCAAGGATCAACCTTGAACTATGGCTAAGCCAAACCAATTCCACAACAGGATTTTGATAATTCTTCTCTCAAACAAATAGATCTGCGAAATTCAACTAAACCACATACAAGCGCAGAGCAAATTCTAGAATTGGTAGATAACACAGTAAGTTGTTGGAGAAAAGAAATAAGGAAAAGAAAGACCGCTGAGAATGGGTTTTTTTTTTTTTTTCTTAACTGTTTGGTCAGTTTGATTACATCTCCATATATAATACTAAATTAACAATATTTTTCCACGTTTTTTAGGCTACGATTTTATTTTTTTTTGGAAAATATTTTCTTTTTTTTTTTTTTTTTTTGGTAATATCAGAAATATCTGTCTCTTTTTTTTTTTTTTTTTTTGAAAAGAAAATATTTTCAATTTGTAGATAGAAAAGCACTTGTTGAATATCCGCAAATGTTTTTATAACATCAGAACAGAAAAACTTATCCACATGTTTAATCCAATCATCACTAATAGTCACCCATATTGTTCATTATTAAAATACACACCAGCAATGAATCATCAACAATTACTACAATTTATTATTATTTTTATATACTTTTTCATATTTAATAATAAAATTTTAATATGAAACTTTATAATTTTTCAATTTGTTATAGTGTTATAAATTTAAAATTTTTAATTAATATTCAGTATTACAGTTAAAGGGAAAAAAAAACATGTTATTTGGAAAATAAGTTATTTACTACTGGGTAAGGGCTACATGAAATTTGTGAGCCCGAATTGATCTGGGCCAACATTCTAAGCTTTTAGACAGATTATTAGCCGCGAAAAATCGCCTTACGTGTACTGTTCTCGAAGTCATAAATTGGACGCTTATGTTTATATTTTCTTTTGTCTAATTTTCACTAACTAATATATGCAAAGCAACTCAAAAAAAAAAAAAAAAAAAACAAAAAAAAAAATCTTATTTCACCTTTGCTATATGCAATATTAAGTTAAAAACGTGATTGATAATCTTCGAAAAAGAATGTTATTCACAATTAAGCCTTTCCCAAATGTAAAATATTATAAATTTATCCTTTTGTACAAACCAAATAAAAATTTAAAAACTTAGCGGAGTAATCTTCTATATCTCATTTATTGAGCGTCTTTACTTTATTCATCAACTAAATAAAATCATAATTTCTATTAGAACAAATGTAATTACTGTTTTAATAAGAAAATAAGATATAATTTAAAAAAAAACTCTCATTTTATAAACCACATATATAGGTAAATTAACTTGCCACTAGGATCGTAAAAAAAAAAAAAAAAAAAAAATCTTATTTCACCTTTGTATATGCAATAATTAAGTAAAAGTTGTTGATAATCTTCGAAAAGAATGTATTCACCAATTAGCCTTCAAATGTAAAAATATTATAAATTTATCTTTTTACAAACCAAATAAAATTAAACTAGCGATAATCTGTCTATACTCGATTTATGAGTTTACTTATTCATCAAACTAATAAAATATAATTTTTTATTAGAACGAATGTATTTTTTACTGTTTAATAAGAAAATAAGAATAATTTAAAAAAAAAAACTCTATTTTTATAAACCATATATAGGTAAATCTAATCCACTAGATCGTAGATTTCTCTTGGATAACCCAACAATATTTATCATCAAATGCAATAAACAAATGATTTCCAAAAAAAAAAAATCATCAAAGGAGCTTTTAATGCAGTAAAGAAGGCCATATATCATAGATGATAGATGTCCTTTTCATGTTATGGATATTCCAATGAATTTTTACTTTAAGAACATGGAATTGGGGAAGGAATTACATTTTTTTTTTGCCTTTTATAGTGTTTTATTTGGCAGAGTACATTTGCTTTATTTGGGCTTAAGAATTATAAATTTATTGCAGGTAAAAACTTAGAATACAAGTCATATTTGGAAATGTTAGAGTCACAT